TTTCTAATGAACAGTTTACTCAAATCCTGTTTACTCATATTAGTAGGTTAGGCAAAGAATCATGGTTTAAATTGAACGTTAAATGAATATTTGAGAAGAAATACAATCAGCTTTTGCCATGCCATGTTTGATTTCAATGAAAGCCTATTACTGTATATTTAATGAACAAGTAATGACATTTTCTGGAATGATTGAGATATAATTAGTGCACAACCAGCTTGGTATTCATGATACTCTGGCAGTTATTATATAAGTGAAAGCATAATGAATATCTGCTTTCCATTTAGGACACTACTCCTCCCCCTGTCCAGAGCGCACACTAGCCCACTCCACTGTCTCCTGGCATCTGCACAAAACAATGCTCACCGCTGTGAACATACAGTCACACCTCAATCTGTAATGGATAAACTGACTGCTTCTGCTATGATTTCTTCCAAACTGAATGGCAAAATGGATTATCGATATTTATGTCGGAATTGTTGTGCATTACAAACAATCCGGTAGAAGGAAGTGAAAACACTTTGTAGGGGCTGACAAAGCCCTAAATACAGCAAATTACCTCCCCACCTGTAACAGCCAAGGACTAAACTGACACCTACAGTATATCATTAATCACTTCCTTTCTCTATTTTGATTTAAAAAGTCATGAATTTAGTGTCATTTTTCAAATGTGGACTTTATCCCCAATGGTTTTACCCCTGTGTAACGATTTTTGGCACTGCACTTGGAAATACATTATTAATCTTTTTATTCTTGACTCGAATAACGAGGAAAATGTGGCGATATATTTGAAAAATTAAATAGGTAAGGTTAAAAGGTATTAAACAGCAAAATGTGTCTAATCTAGTTTTCTTAATTTTGTAGTTCTGTTTTTTAAATTACCAGTCTACTGTCTACTAGGACTGGTGCATACTGTACAGTGTGTTGATTTTAGCGCTTCACTGTTTCTGATGTACACTGGAAAACAGTGAATGATTCCACATACTTTTCAGCCTGATCCAATCCATACTGCTTCTCTTTTCTCTTTCAGCAGATGCTGATAAAGCTATGATCTTTCTGTGTTGTTGCAATAATGTTACTGGACTGACATTAGCATCTCTAAAAGATGGGATTCAACTGCATTGACGTAACACTTAATGACAGTATCCTACAATGGTAATTGTTTAAACATGATGTACTCCATTTCATCATGTCTCAATTATCTTTCTTAGTGCTGTTGGAAGTTCAATTGCTCAATCACTCCAATTTATTGTATACAGCATGTGCATGGCACTAAAATTGGAAATTGGCAAGAGCAGTGGGCAGCAGCTAAATCTGACAGCATTGTAACACTGATTTCAGCTTCTAGATTATGAGTAGGTTGTGACCTTTTAATGAAGATAGTCTGTTTTTCATTGAAGTATTAGTACTGTACAGTATGTAGCCAAATTAAATGTCCCTTACCTCTTCAACAGTTCTGTTATTTATATATGCTTAGCAGATAGGTTTGTGCGGAGTTACTGTACATAGAAAAAATACAATACAGAGATGTGCTAGTAATGAATACAATAATAATACAATTTATATAAAAGTCAAGGATACAGAATACATGTATCAAGAAATAATAATACACATTTCACATCAGTATATAATCAAATTCTGAATGCAATCAATTGCTTATAGTGTGCCAAAGAAAAAGAAGATATCTGTCTGACTTGGCTAGGGATGAGGATAATCGCACAGGGCAGACGTCTTGTGCATTCGAATAAGACGGAGGTCCGAGCCGTGATGGTTCTAGGTGCCTTTTGAAGAGGTGCTGGAATGTATTTTGCTCAGCCCTATTGTTTGGTAGTTTGCTTCACTGTTAAGATGTGGAGCTGTGAATGATTTTTAGAAGCATTTCTAATGAAGTATAATTCTCACCAGTATCTACATCAATAATTGCGAGCCCGTTAAGAGTCCTTGAATGTGGACAGGTTGAAATTAGATCTTTTTCCTGGATTTCCTGTTAGCTTTATTCTTTACTTCCGGTATTTCTGAAACCAAATTTTCTGCAGACAAATTGCAGAAATGCAGTACAACCATAGATAGTTTGTCTATGGTTGTTCATCATTATTAATTCATCAAAGATGAGTTTTTCTGGGGGTTATTTAATAGTTATTAGAAACTGATTTGTACTTGAAAAGGGACACAAGCTCTGGGAGCAGGACTGAAGAAGTCAGGAATGGATTGTATCAGAGTGGAACAAGCCAGCCTCCTCAGGAGCACTGTTTCCGTGGACACTTGAGACTGAAGATTTAATTAAATACTGAAACCTTAGCCTTGCTGGAAAGCAGTCCTTGAGGCTTTAACATGGGTTCTGAAAACATGAATAAAAGGGCACTTTGAAGAAAAACTAAAGAAGAGCAGAGAGGACTGGAATAGGTTGTACATTATATGTTTTAATTTTATGGTTTGACAGCATCTTCTGAAAAGTTAAGTGCTTCACGTACTGTATAATTCAAGAATCACCTCTACAGAAGAAATACGCAGACTAGGAAAGTCTGAAGTTTTAATCATGAGTTATCTCTTTTCTTTCTCTCTATTTTGAGGAAACTCCCTTGACATGATGTTGGCTATCATTAGTCCTGCTTAGTGAATAAATATGAAAACGTTTTTTTTGCAAGAAACTATAACAGTAGCACCTTTAAGTCATGTTTAATTAGAATTTCTGTTTAGAAGTGAACAATCAAATAAAATGGCCTGAAAATCAGTTGAATACCATCAATACAATACACGTTTATAAAATAATAGATTTCATCACAAAGCAAAGAAAATACAATAATTCACCATCTTGCATATCAATATAAATGTAATACCATGTAGGACCAGATTAATGCAGATACCCTGTGGTGAGATAAATACATGTACAGAGCACATTAAGAGGGATACATTTAAATACAAATAATGGGGGGCCACCCACTAAATATGACATATTTCTCTGATGAGCATAACAAGCCCCAAGACCACATAGACTTTATGTCTGTACTTCTTATGAGCTTTGAATGACATGCTGTAATCAGAAGAGAATTTAATTAGGCAGAAATTTTATGCTTCATACTCAGGGATCTGCAATATTTGCCTCAAACGAACAGCTCTGTTCTCCACATGCTGGATACTTCCTTTATCAATAGCTTTGCAGGTCTACAGACATACAGTACGTATGTAGCAGCTGCTGTGGCAGCCTTGATCATACAAATAGTGCTACTGTTTTAACACAAGCTTGCATTCAGAGTTTATTTCAGTCTTCTTTACAAGCCCTTTACAACAAATACAGCCAGTTCTAAAGGGCTGGTAATGGGACTTTTATGAAGTGGCGATTCTGGGAGTCAGTGTCTTTGTCTTATGAGTGGAGGGCAAAGACATTTTCTATTCTGTTACTAAAGGTGTATGATTAATATGGAGGCATGAGTCAGAATAAATTAATTAACTTTTTTCACCTTGTGTTCTGCTGTTAGCTGTATCCTATCCAGTTCTTTTCTACATGAAATCTGCTGTTAGATAATCATGTATTTTACTTATAAATAGTACAGTTCTGCTGAAAAAATGTGTTACAACCTGTTACAATTTGAAAACAAAACACTTTGATTTTGACTACCATCACTTTTTAGCTGTTTTAAACTGATTTTTGTTCTTGAATTATTTGGGACTTTTTGTCTTCGAAAGCAAGCTAAATATTTTAGATGAATTACATTTAAGTGCTACATAATACATATCAATAAATGTTTTTTTTCCTGGCAGTTTCAATGTTGTTTAGTTTAAGGTGACTTCATCATACTTTCTCATGACTGTGTTAATTTTTTAAAACTGTCTTTATTCATAAGCACCTATGGGTGTTAGTGTTTTCTCACTGAAATGGATTTTCATTCATCAGTTATTAAACCAATGCATTATTATAAAAGTACATCTTTCCAGAAGAACTTTTTTGTGCAAATTAATCTAACCAGGTGGAAGCACAAAGAGTAGATCCCAGCAAACCAGTCTCATTTTGTGACTGCAATGGAACCCAGCAGCACTAAGAAGCAGCAGTTATAGATGACGGTAGCATTCTAAAAAATAATTGTACTTTTAGTAAGAAGAGCAGTTACAGCTGATTATTTTAGTTGACTTAATGAGCTAAACCCGCAGGTTACTGGTTTAACTGGACCAATTGCTTGGTTTGGAATGGCTTTTCTCAGCTCTTCAGGTGCCTGGGCACTCCTAATCCCAGCGGTCAACAGCCACCCGTGGGGGTTGTTGTAATGCGATATTCATTTAAATCTGGACCTGGGAACTGCCTGGTAGTTCTTGCTTCACTGTAAATCGGAACTAACTCACATACAAGTTTATGCGATTTGTGATATACTGCCTGCAGGGTTATTTAAAGTTCGATGCTTAACTTCTGTTCACTGCAATTGGCCTGTTCAACTTTTTATTGGATTGGCTGACATACAGCACATGTCTCGGAGAAGAGTCAGAGACTTTTTGCTGCCTTTGAATTCTCATGTTAAGATATGACACATCCTCCTGTTTTAGTTTTCTTTGAAACTAATGACAATATTAGTATTGTTGTTGCACTGTACAGTATACCCCCACTGGAGTGTAGTTAAAAGAGAGAAAAGAATATATGAAAATGTATTATTGCATTTTAGTCTACTACTAAAACTGTCAACTAGTAAGAATAATTTTTATCTAGTATTTTTCATTTAACTTTGAATCCACCCGTATGTCTATGGACTGTGAAGGGAAACTGGGGCTCCCCACACGAACATGGGGAGAACATACAAACACCACACAGACAGCACCCCAGGACAGCGAGGCAGCAATGCTAACCAGTGTGTCACCCTGCCACCCTAAAACAGACATTTCTTTGCCAATTCTTTATTGCCATTCATGGGATTTTATTTTCAACGTGTGCCTTTGTGTGAAAGTATTGTTTAGAAATTATTCAGCTCCCGCCATCAGCCACGGTATTAATTCACTGCCTTGTGTGTCTCCTGCAGGATGATGAGGTGGTTCTGCAGTGTTCCGCTATTGTCCACAAAGAACAACAGAAGCTCTGCTTGGCTGCAGAAGGATTTGGGAACCGACTTTGCTTCCTAGAATCGACTTCAAACTCCAAGGTAAAGTACAGTACAGTAAAGTACAGGGTTTCAGAGCAATACCTCCTTCGGTGTTGATGTTGTCTTTCCGATGCTGCAACATCTGCGTCTTGGTTTCGACACAATTTCGAGCCCAGTTTAGCCCAGTATGGCCGCATCTGTTCACCTATTTTGCTGGGTCCGAGCTATAGGAAGAGGAGCTGCTGTTGCGGTCTCTGTTGGCTCCAGGGCAGCAGGTGCAACAGCCGTGGCGGCGGCTCAGACATGGCTCGTGGGTCTTGTGGAGATGGTGCGGGCGTTTCGGATGGCTCTGCCTCGGACTCATGTTCCTTTGATCCCGTTGCGGGAGCTGCTCGTCCTCATGATCGGCGTTGATGTAGACTGCGCCCAGGCTAGAGCTCGCTGGCGCTAACACATCAACCGCGGTTGTTGTAGCACTGGCTGCAGTGTTAGCTGTAAACTGGGGATCGGGGTCCGGCTCGGCAAACTTGGGATCTTTTTAAGCAGATCCTGCTCACACTGCTCTTTCAAGCGCCATGACTTTCGGTTTTGCGCCCCAATATCATATTTTCCTATCGCATATTTTGAGGCTGGCTGCCGTAAACTTGCACCAGAGATCACCCGATGAATCCGCCAAAATGAATTTGAACTACGAACCTGTTGCATCTAACCAATCATTGGTTCACAAATTATTTCACGTTTTTATGGACCAATGGGGGTCCACCGGTCCGTTTAAAAAAAAAATACCCCGGCCAATCAGGGGCACCTAATCACTCCCACTGGTTCGTTTTAAAAATATTCTGGCCAGTCAGGGCTCCCTGATCAATCCGCGACCCCTAGGCTACAGCGTATGCTAGTCTGTTCGCCCCTGCTGGCATTGGACATCTGAGGTATTTGTGAATAAAGTACAGTATGTCTTCCTATTAAATTATTGTTTCAAATGTTGAGGCACGGTATGAATTTGTTTAGATTTGTTAGACTAACACTTCATGATCAGGGTTCATGCGTGATGTCCCTAAAACCTGAAAATATGTGTTAGTGCATTCCAGAGTCAGAAAAAATATGAAATTTGAGTTCAGTTAACAGAAAAGAGCTTGAGATATGACACTCTGTCCCTGGGGGATAGCAAGCAGTCTGGCTGGGAGCCTCCCTTGGTGTTCAGAGAGAATGTTATTCCCAGCAAACCCTTTTCTCTAGACACAGAATCTGAAAAACTCCACTGTCACTTAAAACGGCACATATAAACTATATCATGTAATAGTGTAGCACAGTGTTGACAATGCAGAGGATGTGCATGTCTAAAGAATAAGAGCTCAACAGCTGATACAGACTGCTTATCTGAACAGACTGCACCCTGGTCTTCTAACAGAAGAACACAACTATACAAATCGCCTTTAAGGAAAATTATCATTAGAACTGATACAATTACAAACAAGTAGAATATCACAATGGAGCTATCTATATAGTATGTAAACTATATAATGTGTAGGGAGAGAAGAGGGAATTACATGTTTAAATGAGTCATTGAGAAGCTCTGGACTCATTTGTGCAATTTCTGACACTGTCTCACAACAAGGCAAGACCTAAGGGATAATAGGAGTCTATGTGGTAGCTTTATCATTTAGCCCATTCCTGGAATAGTTATTTGAACGTCACTATTTTATTTTGTCTGAAGCAAGGCAAGTTTTTAAACAAAGTTGTATCCTTGTGCCATTTTTTCTGTTTTGGTTTAAGAGACCTATTTCTTACTCATCGTCCTTTTCACATCCTTTTAAAATTTCTGTTAACGTCAGGCTACAGTATATTATCAAAAGTGCTTTGTTAAATTAACATTCCTTAATTAACTTGATTAAGTAATCAGGGACCAATACTAGGCCTAAATTCCTTTTCCTAAAATTATTAGAAGCTAACAACCCAGTTGGAATTGGAAGTAGCAAAAAACAATCGATTTTCCATCTTATTCAATATTCAGTTTGGAAAAGAAATGTACGTAGTGCTGTCCTATAAGGATATAAACCATATTGTTATGGGATCCTAATGACCTTTAATTTATGTTTCTTATTTCTGTCTCACATTTGTGGAACTTTGTATTGATTCCTTTTGAGTTTTTTTTTTTGGGTAGTTTTGGATTTTTCTTCTTTGTTTTTGGGATGATCAAAATTTGAATGAACCTCTTATTTATCGCCTACCTATTAGATCTGGAGGGATTTGCACACCTTTTTATGAACTGGGGACTGATCAGCCATCCACCATATTTCATTCTGCAAATCCCACACCAGAGTGCACATTGTATGGAGGAGTAGTGTGGCTCCATCTAATAGAACAGCAAGCTTGCTGCTCCACACTGCAAGCAATATTACAAAGCAGTCATTTTTACTGATCTGTATAGCTTTTAATCCCAAAGGATCACCAAACCCTCTATACAGTACATAGAAGAGGGCACTCTTCGTTCACCACTGAAATGCAGCACAACAGATAAGGCAGAGAGGTAAAAAATGTATTCACCAGCTAAACACTCGGGAGGCCAGAGTACAATCCCAGAGTGGACTTCACATGACATGGGGTTGAACATCCCTAATCTTTGGAAAAAGGACCATAAGATCCTTAGTAGGTAAACCTTCATGGTCAGGACTTTGGTTTATGTCTCATCCGAAGAACAGTACCTCACACAGCACAATGCCCCATTGTTTTTTTTTAATAATTCTGGTCCATTCTGAAGTGTGCCCATTGCTGGTACACCAACACCAGGTGTAACCTGGATTTCCTGAGCCAGGACTGACCAGGTCCAGCCTTGCTTTGCTTCTGCAAGTTTTGATGTGGACTTGCAATTTAAAGACAATTCAGGTTACCTACTGCAACTCAACCCATTGAGCGTGGAGAGTTGTAGTCATCTAACAGCAAGCAGAGCTCTACACAGCTCAGACTGTTTTTCAGACAAGCTCACTTAACTGGGTAATTCAGGACCCCTTCTCAATTCAATATTCAAATACAGAAGTGGATAATTTATTCGATTGCTGTACTATTAAAAAATGTGCTAATGTTTTCATGGGGATATGACATGACACGTTTTTTCACAATGTGATAAAGATCTCTTATGTAATGATTTGTACTGTATGGAATGACGGGAAGTAATTGAGTAATTTTTCTTAATTTGTCTCCTGCAGAATGTTCCTCCAGACCTCTCAATCTGCACTTTTGTGCTGGAACAGTCCCTATCAGTGCGAGCCCTGCAAGAGATGTTGGCCAACACAGAGGAGAAAGCAGAAGGGGCAAGTAATCAAATGCCTATTATTGCACTCAATCAACTGCAGATAAACGGATTTGTCTTTTGCCAGATATGGTGCCATGAATAGAGTTGATTAATACCCCAATCCTCAGCCACCTGTGGACTCTGCTTTTAGTAATTTGTTTCACAATGTAGGGAGTGATGACAGAAGGGCAGTTCATCAAAAATAAAAATGTTTTAGATTTAAAAAAATAAATGTACACATATTGGTTTTAAAATAATTAAAGATGTACAATCTAAATGTCACCTTTTTTTTTTCCAAGGACCATATGAGAAAATGTGAACACACATTTCTTCTTAAGATATTTCAAGCGCCTTCCTCTGTTTCTGAACACAAGCTCTTATTGAAATAGGAGGAAATGATAGCTCTCATTCATCACAGCTGGGGAGCTAGAATATTTCCCACGTCTGTTCTGCTGATGCTACATAACCTTATCACTCAGTGCTTCATATTGCTTAGTGCACCACATTAGCTGATGCGACCATTTACAGCGCTGGGAGCTGTGAGCTCATCACTGTGCAACGTGTTCATCGTGAGCCATAGGTTGATTTTCCTAAAACGAAACAACAGGGTCGACAGCCAAATTGTTTGATCACACAAAGTAAATTGGGAGGTTGTGAATATTTTCACCTTTATATCCCATACTAATTAAAAGATTTTGACAACAGCACTAAGGAAAGGAGAGCTTAATCGGTTCCCATAGTAACACTGAGTGGATGCAGTTAACCTGACACAATAAGAGGACAATGACAACAAGGGAAAGCAGGGAACTGCATCTTGCTGCTCACAGTTTATTATTTCAAAGCTGAAAACTGACCTAAATAATGAAGATTGGATTTTTATAATTTACTCTTTGTAATATGATTGATTTGTTATAAATTTGACAGATGAATAAAATAAGTCTACGAGAGGGTTGCTATACTTTCCTTCCATTATGTTTTTACCAGTTTTTTTTTCTTTTACAGTATTAAGATCTTACAGTGATTAAGCCAAATCATGTTTCAGGTAGTATGTGATTTGACCTTGCTGCTGTTTATCAGAAGAATTGCTCTAGTAATTACAAGACAGAACTGAAAAAATATTTTCCTTATTCTGAGCAGAGGTGTTTGTATATTAACATAATTAGCATCATCTCTAATTTCAGGTCAGGTCATTCTGCTTTTCCAGGGTCTTCAAAACCGAACTATTTCAATATTTGTGTTAAGAATGCAATAGTACGGTTTTTAAATGAGTCCTGTGTTTTAAATGAAAAATAAGTGTACTGTACCATGCAGGGCATGTCATGCAATGAGCTGTTTTGTGATAAATGTTGTACAGCATGAAAAATTACTTTTGCTATTAGTGGGAATTGAGAGCTTTTAACTACATGTGCAGTGTTTGTAGATTAAATGAACTGAACTGCATAATTGCATATTTATTAGTCAGTTTCTTTACTTCCTAGCATCTTTCGGTAAAATTCCAGAAGGCATGCCTGAACATACTCCCGGTCTACTGATTGAATCCTCTCTGCTTCTACAGATATGATCGTGAGATTATCCAGGCTTTAGAGCAGAAATGCTTCTTCTTTTACTGCAAGATGTCACTGCAGGTGTTAGGACTATCTTGTATAACTTTGTTGTGTGCATTTAGCCAATTATCCCTGCTGAGAGACAGAAAGATGTCTTTCAGAGTACTTGGTGGATGTGGCTCTCTCTCACCGTCTCTGTGTGGGGAATGGAAGTTTGTTTTTCTGCTCTACAATCTGTAGCTTGAGATTTCCTGTATAGTAAGATGCAAGTTGTGTGTCCTCTTCTTTTCAATATAATGAGGTGTTAGGCTGCTTACCTTTTGTGTTTTAGTGATAATTCTTTCTTTGTTGCTTTTAATACAAAGTTGTGTATTGACTAGCAGGTAGGGTGGTTGGTAAGTAATTTCCATAACTGAACCACTTTGGCTCATTGGGCCAGGTCTTATCCTAGTTTCCATGGGGTTAAGTGGATGAGACATCACAAGACCCCAACCCCACTCTTCCCCAGTACAGGACACTGGTCCATTACAGGACCCCTTGCAGTGCTGGCCTTTATTTAGTAAGCTGGGTGGACTAAAACAATTGGTGCAAATTACCTTGCCAAAGGTACAATGGCATGCCCACAATGGGACCTTGAACCTACAACCCACCTGTTATAAGGCAGTGCACCCACTGTGGTGCATGTCCTCTTTTGCTACAGGTACTAATAGGAAAAAGCAAATGTACTTTATGTACTAAAAACTATTGGAATCATTAAATCATTGGAAAATCACTTGGTGACCAAAAAATTATTACAACTTAATTAATCTGTAATATTATGTTTTAATAACAATTTAACCAATAGTCCCTAAACAATTGTTTTGGACCTTAATTATACAGCTTAGCTGTTGAATATTTGTTTGCATTTGTACAGTACATGCGAACACATTAAAATATTTAGTGAACATCAGTAGAAACTTAGCTCTCTATGTGTTTATGTTTTTTGTCAAATTAAGTGATGCTGGATTTTGATTAAATGTTTTTGAAGTCATTTTGGTTAAATAATGATTCATGACTGTTACTGTATATACACAAGTGACGGTTGTGGAAGCACTTAATCACCTGATCAATGAGAGCGGTTAAACAGTGTAATTTAACCTTTTAAATGTCAAGTGTTGAAAAAAGAAAAACACAGGAACCAATATTTACAGTTTTAAATTCAGAGAAAAGCGCTTTTGTCTCATTGGTATGTTTTAGGCTGGACAAAGTCGGCACACTGTTGCTCTGTACCTGGTGTATTCACAGCTGGCAAGAGATTACAATCAATTACAAACCATCCGTGTCGGGCCATGATCTGGGATGCTATGAGGGATGATGCCTCACCAAGATCAATGGGAAGGTCCTTGTGTCCAGTGACAGTGAGCAGGAGTGTCTAGTTGCTACAGAACACTAATTGTAGTGATTGATGGCAGCCAGCTCTACACTGATCAAGTGCTGGGACCCCACCTGTTGCCCTTCCTATAGAAACATTCTATCAAGACAAATATTCTTGTGCTGCTAGTATAGCTATGGGTTTCTTGTAAGACCCGACTGTTTTACAGTCAACACTATTTTTTATTAATGGACTTTGCTTTCAAAGACTTTGGATTTAACTGTCAAAATCTACAAAGGGGGATTCTTTGTCAGTAAAATCAGAAATACCTGACTATCCCCACAATAACAGACAAAGTATAAAGCAATTGGTATACTTACATAATTCCAATTACAATAGGAATGACTTAGGATGGGTGTACTGTAGTTTGTGTTTCATATGCTTTAGCCATTTTTTTAAAACCGTAATTTTAAAAAATATACTAAAATGTACAAATAATAAAACAAGGTAAAAATGAATACTATATAGTTTTAAAACACAGCAGTTTCTGTGGTGCCCTGTAGGTGTAGGTCTGTTGCTTATAATTAGTGTTGTTTGTGTTTCATATGGTTTTGAGAATTTAGTAGATTTATTAAATAAAGAGCTTTTATATTTATGATAAAAAAGCTCAATTTGCATTGACTGTGTTGATAGCAATTGTTAATATTAGTAAAAAGTTTCAAAAAGTGTATATATATTATACACTTTTTCCTCATGTAGTAGTGTATTTTTGGGCTGAAAAAATGTCATTTGTGATTGAACAGGCATTTGGCAATAATGGACACCTCTTCATCCCTACTAGTCTATTAAACTGAGAGTTTTAATGTACTGTAGATATGGCATGAAGGCTCTACTTGCCAGAACTGAGCATTCTCCAGCATTTGTGAGATGAGCTGAAATGATGTCAGGCATGTAAAACTCAGAGACCAGTGAACAGGCACATGTTTTTCTAGACTCAATGAGAGGAATGACACAGGATGCCACAAAACAGCATCTTTAATCTGGTGTAAAGCAGGTGTTGAAGGTG